ACCTCGGTTGTGACCTCACTCGTCCAACCATCCACATGTTTGAAACATAGCGAAGTTGTCCTCAACCTTTTCACCAGGATGACGATTCGCTTCATAGTGGCATTTCTCCTTCTTCTCATAATCTTCTTGAAAGCTAAGCTTCCGCTTGAGTTTCCTTCGATTACGGTTGAAGTCATTTGTAACACTACCATAGTCCTCAGACCATGTAGTCATTACACCATCATAGGATCCTTCGTGGCTTTTAGCCGATCCACTAGACAACACAATAGGTACCAATTGTGTGCCATTAGCACAGGTCTACCGGATCGTGAACCAAAGTTCTCTGGAGCACCATCGTGTGTTTTTTGCAACTCCATGGAAATATTATTTCCAACGTTGCTGCCATCAACTGGCATCACGGAATGTGCAACATCGTTGCCGTTGACCATTTGAATGTGCACCACGAGCAACATTCACGGATCCAACACTTTTGGAATCCATCGACTTGTTCATTATCAAAAGTATATAAGGTTTTAAGATTGTTGGTGATAATGAACCACAATCGATTTAATATCCGTAAAATAATATTTATATATATACACACGAAATATATATAAAATATTATTGGATATATATATCCGAAAATATATATATACACACAAATGTATATAAGACGGACCCAACGGTTATATATAAATGTATATCTACGAAAAAGATATACCAATATATATCAACCAAAAAGAAAATATAATCCTTAGATTATAATTCCAAATTAACAAGAAAGAACGGATTTTTGCTTAAAAGCATAATCCAAAACAAGAAAGAAGGAGAAGGAAGAAAGAAATGTACGAGTTAGGCAAGGTGTCTTTCTTTCCTTAAAACCTTATTGCCACCTCCCAAAAGTGCTAGGAGCGTTGTGGCCTAGGTCTCCCAGGATAAAACGTACAACGGTTCGACGTTTGAGCACCCAAACGAACGAACCCGGCGAACGAGAGCACGGGCAAAACACAGCTTCAAGAATGGAGTAGAAGCAGAAGTATTTTGAGGCTTGGAAAAAATATTTTTCTTGTGTGTTCTTGTTACTTTTTCCTTAGTAAAAATTCTGCTGCACTCTACCCCTTCTTATATAGGAGTGAGGAGTGAATAGCCTTTATTATGGCATTTAGGGGCATCCCTACAACTCTTGTAACATCCACCATTTACTTAGGTTTTAATTCAAAAATTGAAATTGAAATTAATTCAAAAATTAATTCCATAACAGCCGAATTAAATCCCAACAGTGCACAGTTTCGGCCACTGCCAATTCACATGTGGCCGAAACCTTGAAACTACTTGTTTCAATAAATTTCGGCCACTTTGGCCGAAACTAATAACAACAATAGTATAACAACACAATGAACATCAAAGTTCATTGGATTTGATTTGCACTCTCCCTTCGCACAAGAGAGAGCCTCTATGCTATACAATTCAATAAGCTTAACAAGAGCTCATGTATAAATAGTGGGGCAAATCCTCTTCCCAAACCAATGTGGGACAAAAGCTCACTTTTTCCCTTTATTTTCCAACTCAAATGGGTCTACTTTAAGAATCAATATCTCATTCACCCATTATCCGTTTTGAGCGTACAATATATCAATCTCTTCATCTCACTACGAAGAACCCGAATCCACTTTGACCCGACCCAAATCGGAAGTGGAACCCCACTGATAATTGTACCACAAAATAGCCACTTAATATGCCATTTTATGCCATTTTAAGCTATTTTTTCCAACAGTATTTGGACACTTTTGTGCATCTCACTTACCCTATGTCTTGATTTAATTCCCTAAACCTTAGTACAATATTTAGCATCTTAGCTTGAATCAATCAAATCCCGGTCTTTTGTTTTACTTGTTCTATTTGTTATTAGTATAATCATATCAAACCAACTCCTTACCAATAGGTCTAACTTCTAAAAGAATAGTTCTAGCTTGTGCTTAACTCCGCTTTGCAATCAATTCCTAACATTACAAGAGCCATCTCCAGTGGAACGATATCTAAACTCTATACTGTGATTTGATACTTGATGGATGTGTGAAAACCGTCATCATCAACTAGCATAATAGGTCTACTTGAAAACACGAAGATAACAAGATGGTCGAAAGATGATTGCAGACGAAAGATGGATTGAGCAACTCTCGGATAGACATCTCTCCACAAAATGGATCTCATCATAAGTCAAAAGATAAGGACAATCTTTCGAAGATCTTCTCCGAGAAAACAAGTTTCAGATAAACTTGTAAAGACAACCTTCATTAAAAATAAAGAAAGAAGAATGTTGTCTCATGAATGCGCAATCATTCGGACAAAAGGTGTCATAGGAATGATTTTCACAAAAGACAAGGAGCATTAATTCCGTTGTGCATTAAAAGTTTCTTACAAAATTGTGCAAAGCATATATCTAAGACGAAACCTTAATTCCGTTGTGCATCGTTCCAAAATGACCAACTTTGAAAAATCGATTAGAGTCTATTCACCCCCCCCCCCCCCTCTAGAGTCTCTTTTGACCCTACCGGGACCAACAAAGTTACTGGAAATATATATATAAAAAAATTGTATATATATGTTGCAGAAATATGATTATGTAAAGATATATATTTAAAAATGAAAAATGGAATAGAATCATTTAGTATCAACAATTTATAAGGAAAATTTTGTAATTAAAGATGGAAAAGGTTTTGCAAATACGAAATGGAAATATAAGGTTTAGCCAAAATTTGAATGAATATTAATCGAGATGGAAATTAATAATTTTTACACCAAATGTTATTTTATACTAAGAATATAATGATTGTGTAATTATAAGGTTTAGCCGAGTATGTCAACAAAAAATAAGGTTTAGCCGGGATGAAAAAAATATTAATCTCGGTTATATATTTTATAAAATGTAAAGTTACTTGAAATATTTAAAAAATTCTGTATATATATATGTTACTGGAAATATAGTTATATAAAGATATATATTATATTTATAAATGGAAAAAAATGAATAGAATCGTTTAGTATCCACAATTTATAAGGAAAATTGTGTAATTAAAGATGGAAATGTTCTTGCAATACGTATGAATGATTCAAAAGAAATTAATTATGACTGATTTTGTAACATATCTTTATCCAAAATCATGGGACCTCATTACAATGGGTATATATAAAGATGTGTAATTATGTGTAGAATGTGTAAGGAAATTAAATATGATCCCCATATATAATTCATTGAACACTGATATTTAAAATCTCTAAAGTTTTAGCACCAGATGCGTATATCTACCCATTGACTACGGATGCGTACATCTACACATTGACTATTAATTGGACAATTATTTGATCAAATTCAAGCAATGATAACATCATAAAAATACAATCGATCCAACTCGATTCTTCAATTGCATTATATAATATTCGATGTAATAATTTATATATATAATTATATATCGATCCAAATATTATTAAAATATTTTAACAAATTCATTCCGTGCAACGCATAGGCGAAAATACTAGTATATATAGAATTAATTTCTTTTTGCTCTAATCCCTCATTTAATTATGAAATCTTAAATTTAGAGTCCAACAATGGTTAGTTGCATAAAATTCGCAATCAGGAGGAGAGGGAGAATACAATTTTACCTTAAATACAACTCAACTCATTCTTGAAAATCCCTAAAACTCCTGCAAACCTTCGATCAGCTTGTAGGATACGATGGGCGGCGCATCGGAGAAGACGCAACCTCTTCTTCTTCCCCAAGATATTCTCGTCGGAATCCTCTCCAAGCTCCCCGCTAAATCGCTAGTACGATTCAGGTGCGTTTCTAAATTCTTTTGCGCTCTCATAGCCGACCATGGCTTTGGCGTTCTGCATCGCAGCTTGTCCTTGACACTTCCCACTAGGGCGGGCATCCTCATCGCTATCATACAGCCAAAGCGGCTCTCCTCCCGTTCCTCCCATGTGTATTACACCATAAATTTCAGCCAAGGGCAGCCGGGAATGCTCCAAGCCAACCGTCTCGGCTACTTGGACGCTGAACCATTTCTGGAAGGCTGTCTACACTCCTCCTCGGATGGCCTGATTTGTATGTCCAGACCCAATGGAGACGTCGTTGTTTGCAACGTTTGCACGGGACAACGTATTTCCCTTCCGACAATCCAATTCCACTTCCCCCATCCATCTTTATCCTGTGCACAGTTGGGGTTTGATTCACAATCTAAAAGATACAAGGTTTTGATGTCAGCCTGTATGATTGATCGAGGCAGCACGCCCATCCGCTTCGAGTATAAGCATTGGGTTTTGACTGTGGGAGTGGACAAATCATGGAGGGAGATCAACTACCCCTTTTCCTACCCCTTCTACCCCTTTGATGACTATGCCTGCTTTAACTTCTGCTATGATACTAGTGTCTACATTGACGGCGTTATCTATTTCTATAATTGGCTCACTAAAGTTGATTGTCCTAGCTTCCACATAGTAGCATTTGAAGTTGGGTCTGAGACTTATTTTTTGATACCATTTCCAACTGAACTATCATCATTATGGGAATATTATGTAGTTTTATCTTCAGCTTGGGAAAAAAATCACTTTCTTAACCAAAATTTTGCATTTCTACAAGTTGATGGAGGTCGACTGGCTATGGTTCGTGTTCGCCCAAGAGAATTCTACATGGATGTTTGGACTTGGGAGAAATCTAAGGAATGCTGGGAGAACATTACTATGACCATTCCATTAGAAGAGGGACTTAGGAGCACATTCCTGCGTCATACTACAAATCATGATGGGGAGATTGTGTTGTTATTTATGAATAGTGAACGGCTTTCCATTTTGATTTGTAATTTGAACACTGAGGTTTGGAGACAATTTGATTTGGGTGGAGTTGAGGAATTTCCAGAAGAAGTTAGAATGTACGGGACCATGGACAATGTGTTTTCTTTGGAGTAGTTGACAAGCGTGGTCTGATATGCTTGGGAAAAATGAGTGCTTCAATTCACAGGATTAATATTTCATTTTTATATATTAGTAAGGTTGTCCATTACACTACGGATATGTAACTTTGCAAGGGGGCGAGGCAATCCCTTTAGTTTATTTGAAGCTAAAGGTTTGAGAAAACAATATAATGCCCATTTTTGGGATTCTTGCTGAACTTCATGTGCAAACAATTGTTGGATTAGTATTTCTCACATGATACGAATTAAAGTATTTATTTCTCACATTATTTTTGCTAAAATTATAAATCCCTATTTTTGTTGATATATATATATATATTATTTATTTTAATTTATCGACTTATTTCCACCTACAATCGTAATTAAGGTGAAAATAAGGGACCGCCTACGAATTATTAAAAAACAAAAAACCATTTTAAAAGAAAAATAATTTTTTTGTTAGTATATACAGAATATCATGTTGTCAAAGTAATTTTCCAATTTTTTTATCGAATTGGCTAGATATGGATTGCATGGTCTCACTATTCTATAAGAAAAATGCACGACCACTAATTAAAGGTATATGCACAATAAATTTTATTTATGTATAATAGCTAGTAAATTACACAAAACTAGTAAACCCTCTCCAGAGTCTCATTATTCTAGTTTGAAGTTTTGATATGATGGAACAGGTAAATTAGGAATATGCTTCAATAGAATTATAGAATACATTTTTTCTGTTGTAATTCGCCCTATCAACTCGTTGGTTCTCGCGTGATGTTTGCACGGTAATGCTTGGAGATTGTATGTATATGAGTATATAGAATAGATAAGTAAAAGGGGAGGAAGAACACAATGTATAGAACACAATCACATGAGACCATCTTTTCATTAAGCTTTCACCCTCAATTTATAGGGATGATTACAACCTTTCACATCCTTTAACATAAGTAATGAAATAAATAAAGGCTAACAAAAGGTCACAAGTTTAATGGCCATAATAATAAAATATTTATAACACTCCCCCTTGGCCATTAAATAACTATACTCATGCCTCGTTAAAAACCTCGCTAGAAAAATCTTGACGAGGAAAAGAGTACACGAAGTATGTTGATCCATGTGTTGCACCGGTTGCCTCATTAAAAACCTTAGCCTAAGAAAAGAGTACAACCATAAGCCTTCTGGGCATAATCTTCAAGATTTCAAGAGTCTTCAGGACTATCCACTCGATCAAGTGCACCGACATCGGTTGCCTCATTAAAAACCTTAGCTTGAGAAAACCCTGTGGGAAAAACTTAGCTAAGGGAAAAAGAGTACAACCATATGCTTTCATAGCATAATCTTCAGGATATCAAAAGTCCTCTAGATTTTCCATTTTAGCACAGCTAGGGGTTGTCGCTCCCCTTGAAGATAAAAATCTTCTAAGCCTACGCATCCCAATTTTAGGCAGAGACTTAGTGAACATATATGCAAGATTGTTCAGTGGGGCAAACATTCTCAACAAGAATTTTACAACTCTTCTAGAGTTCATGTGTGTAGAAGGACTAAGGTGCAACATGTTTTGTAAGGTTCCCCTTAACAAAACTATTACTTGCTTGTGCAACACAATCTTATTTGTCCTCATATGGGACATTGGGGGTAAAAATATAACATAACCAGTTTTGGACTTGGCATCATAGGGAATAAATAAAAGAACCAGTGCTCAAGTAGCCCATCAAGACCACATATGGGTTTCTCACATAAACGTCAAAAACTTTGTACCTCGAAGGTGCTGGAGGATATGTTAAAATACCATTCCAATTTTCATTGTAGGGGGGAACACTAAATGTTGCTAGCAATTTCATCGCAAATTCAATATCAGGCCTGATGCGATTATGGAACTTCTAGTTCAATAATAGTGCTCCAATATAGTGATGAAGTAATGGACTTCCAGTCCCTAAATATCCTCACTATAATCTTCATGTCTAAATGGTCATTTATCTACTTCAAGAGATTATTGGGCAACCGTTTGTGTGATAAGTAAATACTACTTGTCTATATAAAACATCTTCAAGATATTTTTCAAGTAGGCTAACTGGTGTATAAAACTTCTTCAAGGAGAAGCTCGATTTTCAGGTCGAGACAATACTTGGATTTCCAAGTCTTTTATTTCAAAACTTCGTCTTTCGACATGAGCTGATATCACCAAGCTCTCTATGTGTTTCAATAACATTTAAATCATCATTACCGACTGAGATAATAAACAAATAACTCCATTAACAATTCTTTAACGAACACATAATAGTACATATTTGCATATTCCTTCTTCGGGAGGAAAACACTCAGTCAATAATATTCAAGTCATACAAATACTTTAGTAGTTTAATGATACGCGTTGCCATTTTCACTTTCCTAATTTCAAAAGTGTTGAATCCAATAGGGATTTACAAATAAATATTAGCGTCTAATGACCAGTAAGTTTGCGGTCATGACACTCATCAACTGCATATTTAAATTTATAATTCACTGCCAATGATGTTAATTAGCGGAACGTAATGCCATCTGTTATGGGAGAGAACATTGGATCAAAATCAATTTAGGGTCTCTGCGTAAACCCTTAAGCTACCAGTCTCGCTTTATATCATACCACCAGATTATTTGTATTTCTCTTTTGTACAAACACCCATTTTTAACCTTCAGGGTTAACATTAAATGGTGTACATGTTATAAAGAGAATGCAGTTTTAGCGAGTTGAGCTATATATGCCTTAATTGCCCTTTTATACATAAAAAAAAATAAATCAGGGCACTACTGTGCCTAGCTCTGGATCCAGATTCTCATTTACTAAGAGCAATTTATAAGGCAATTGTGTTGTCGACAACTATAACATTTTTCATAAATTTCTCCCATATATATAAAATAATGGCCATTTCTAATTCAACCAGACTCTAGCCATTTCCCAAAGATATTTTTATCTGGTCGTTCCGCATCCCTAGTATTATGATTTTGGGTGCACCTATAATTTTATTGGAATTTTTCGCATTCCAGATGAATGTCTTCTGGACGAATATCTGCAGGACATACTTAGCTTCTTTAAGCGATTTCAAGAGTGACGAAATTTTCTACTAGATATAGCTTTCCGCGGATTCTTGTCTTTTATACCAACATGTCTCCACGCTTCTGGTGTCAAGGAGCATTGGTAAATACATACGGTCCAAGTTCGGGAAGATACAAGGGACCAAATCACTTTTTTTATCAGTATATATATATTGGCAGATTAATTATCTTCTGAACTTGCATTTCAGTTTACTTCTTATGAACTTCTAGTTCAGTCAACCTAGTACGTGGATTCAAATATTGAAGATCAATCATTCATAGAATTTCTTGACATTCTATAAAATTTGAGCTCTTATCTCCCCCTAATGTCGTGAAATGATCTTCATAAAGTGTGCAGTCAACGTACATAATTATATATTGATCCCTTATAATGGGCTCTAAAGATTTAAATATCATACGGAAGTTCATAATCAACATATACATGCCCACAATGTACGCTATGGTGGTGATATAGGAAAAAGGCTGCACATTGTGAATAAAACGCAGATGGAAAATGTTTGATTTTATACCACGTACTAGGTGTTAGGGGGAATACTTATGATATGCAGCAGGCCAGATTGTGATAACAACAATAACTAGCTCAAGCTATACTATAAAATCATGTGGGTATTTAAAGCCTTTAAAAGTGCATCGCAATATATGAAGTACCCAAAACACATATGCAATCATCTAAGAGTAACACATATAATCAGATATGAAAGCATACATATCAAATGATATTATACGGGTACACAACAATCATAAGGAAGTTGGAAGCTTGTCAAATAAAATAGATCTTCAGGATCTCCAAAAAATCCTTATCCTCAACTTTACATTAGTTCACTCACTGGTTTGGGAATTGCTTCGTGCAAATTTACATGATATAATTCACTCCCTCATTTGTTTCGGACAAACTGATATGAAATAATTTATTCCTTCGTTTGCTTCAGGCAAATTGATATGATATAATTCATTCTCTCATTTGTTTCGGGCAAACTGATATGATATAATTCGCTTCTGTCTTCCAAACCAATAACATCTAAATTAATCATATCATGTATCACTTTGTTTCTTATTCTGAGCTCGAAACACGTACCACACCGGTTATAATCTCGATCGCAACCCCTTATAAAGTTACTCAACTAGGTAACTGTTGAGATTAACCAGCACCAGAAAAATAATAATGGCAGTAAAGAAGACAAGATTTATGTGGTTCGACAATGTGCCTACATCCACGGGAGTG